CCAATTCTAAGATTAAGGAAAAACGCAATCTGCAACATTAACTGAAATACATAATTAAATAATTTTAGCTTAGCTTATACCGTCCGCTATACATTAAACGCCCATGCGTAAAGGTCGTATGCTGTTGTGTAAACGCATATGCGCATATGTAAAGATCTTACGCGCATGCGCAGAACGTTTGTAGCTTTGATGTCCGAATTATAGATCATTCCGGTTTATGGACGTCCGGATTAAAGACTTTTGACCGGTCAAAACTCGTTAATCCGGACTCGTCGGGACTTCGGCGATTCCGGATTATCGATTTTTCCGGATTATAGATCATCAGTTTAAATCTCGTAAGATGGCATGCAGAAATTATAAAATTAAAAATATGAAACCGTAATTTATGAAATAAAGAACAATTATGATCTAAAGGGTATCAAAATTTACAAAAAAAAAAAGCTTAATATTTATTTGTTTACTTTATTAAACATTTCTTTCAATGTAAGTTGTTTAAGTTGCTTCGTTTTATGTGATAATACTTTCTCTTTAATTATATAAACAGACATAATTTCTTGTTCAGTTACAAAGTTCCGCTGTTCAAGTCCCGTAATTGCTGTGCCGAGAATACCGACTGATTTGTCAATCGAAATTTTTTCGTTTTCACTAACCTCTCTGTCACCTTCTTCATGTCTTTATCCATTTTTTGCAGCAATTCCACTTTTTGTTTGATGGACATACTTTCGTTTTGTAGATCCTTTGGGAACTCCAGCATCGGAAATTCTATTTGACATAATCGAAAGTTCAAGTTTACTTTAATAAAATTGCTCTTACAGTCTGCAAAAAATAATAAACCGGATCCAATTCGAATATTAAGGAACAACGCAATCATCAACATTAACTGAAATAGATAATTAGATAATTTTAGCTTTTACCGTCCGTTATACATAAAACGCGCACGCGAAAACGTATTCTGCACTTGCGCACACGCATATGCGCAGTCGTAAAGGTCTTACGCGCACGCGTAAACGTCTATGCGCATGTGTCAACGCGGCGCATGCGCAGAAAGTTTTTAGCTTTTAGGTCTGGATTATAGATCATTCCGGATTATGTGTGTCCGAATTAACGACTTTTGACTGTATATAGACATATTTTTTCCTGAGGCAAGAAGATAAATGTATGCACCCATAACCATATCTATACATTTCTGTATTCAATAAATACATTCTTTGGTTAGGGGAAAAAAAAAAGAAGTACCATGAAGAAAGTGATTGTTTTTATTACACAGGTAGTGAACAGATTAAAAGTTCAAAGCCACAGGACCTATCAGTGGCTAGCAACTGCACATTGAATGTTGGTGAAACCCCCCTCACAGTGATGCATGCTTGTAAACGTTGAGGAAAGGAGAGATAAAGATTCCTAATCCCATCTTGCAAGACATTCTGCCAGGCATGCCTTAACTGGTACTCCAGATCTGCGATGTTTTGGGTTTCCCGAATCTGGTGTATGTTAAATTGACAAAAAAGATCTGGTGACCCTTCTGGCCAAGGAAGCGTATCAACAACTTGAAGACAGTCCAGATATGCAACCATACGGGATCTAGCAATATAACGTTGGAAATTAATTAAGAGGTGATGACATAACGCTGCATAAGCAAAATTAGGTACTTTTCCGTTTTGACGGCGCAAGCGATAAAGTCGCCAATAATGGTACAACCGATGCCAAACGGAATATTCTCGCTGGTAACCTTTTACGCCTCATTTTCAAAATAAGTTGCAGCTTTTTCTTATCAGATTGATTGTTTCTTTCAATACTGGCATATAATATAATTACATAGAATTTTTATCAGATAGTTCAGTTTTATGTCTAAGGCCATTTTTGGTAGTTAAGTCAATCAGGATGCAATTAAATTAATAATTTAATTTGGATTAAATTCATCAATTCTAATGAGAATGCATTAGTGAAGTAAAGCACTGCAGTTTTAAATAATTTCTGAGTGAGCTATTCGTACACATTGAAATATTTCTTGCATTTAAACTTGTGTTCCAAATTAAGATTTAACTTGAAATTAATGTAGATAATTACCGAGAGCATTAGATTTTTGTAGAGTAGTTTACGTGAGATGAGATCGCTTGGGTCACGTGATATGAACCGGCGAATTAGGATGTTGAACCATGAAAGCATAGTAAATTCTTAAATTAATGTCCTTTTACAAATTTATTGTCTTCATTTATTGGCTTTTTATAAAGTTTTAAGCGATATTAAAATGTTTATGCCTTCAAAAAAAAAAAAAAATTCTTAGAACTAAAATTTTTTAAATATTTTTTATGTGTATACTGTATGTTGTCTCCAATAAAGTCTGCTTGGCGAGATTTGCGCCGGCGAAACGGAAAAGTACCCAAAATTATTCTTCCCGCACAAACATAATTAGAATTGGCGCATATACACTCCCTTCCGATATGTCAACAAATCGCCGGTGCTACTTTGGTAGACGGTTGCATGGATTTTTGGCGATTTACGTTGGCGCGATTTCTACAAACGTCAGCCATCTTGAAAAACGCTGTTTTTACGCATAGTACGCATGGTACCGTTACAGCGTATTCGAAACTTCCAAAAAAAAAAAAAAAAAAAAAAAAAAATCGTTAGAAATAATGGATTAATTTTTTTGTTGAAAATGTCGTTTTTTAAGATGGCAGGCAAGTGTAAATAAATACATTTACTATGAGTATAAAATACTAAAGTAAGGTTATTGTTACTTTCATATAGCAGAGAATAAAAACACCGCTATAAAAACATTGTGCCAACGTTTAATTAGATTAAAATATTACTGAAATTGAATATTGAAATAAAAAACATCATCCAACATTTTAAAAGAATTAGAATATTATTAAATTTAAATACTTTAAAATACGTAATATAGAATATAATATATATATATTATATAGAATAAATACATTTACTACGAGTATAAAATACTAAATAAAGGTTAAATTATTACTTTCATATAGCATAGAAATAGAATAAAAATACCATTTTAAAAACATTGCGCCAACGTTTAATTGGATTAAAATATTACATAAATTGAATATCGAATTAAAAACCATCATACCAACGTTTAAAAGAATTAAAATATTACTTAAATTAAATACTTTAAAATAAGTAAATAAGAACGCTTCGTACACTAGAGCTAAAATGACAGCAATTAGTTTATTGTCGGTAAAAAAGGAGGAATGTCTAATAATTTTCTTACCGTTATAGCGGTTATTTCTTCCAACCATGACACAATACAATATCATATACGGCCGTCTCTCAGAATCGGCTCGTCCTAACGGTCTTCATCTGTGATCTACATTTCTCGCACTTCATTGAAGAAACAATTAGCGACGTTTCCTCCAAAACTTTAAAATAAATTTCCTCTGACCCTTGTAAGAATTTATAAATAAATCTTTGATTAGGAAAGCCAGGCTGGCGAAAATAAGGTCTCAAAGGACAATTTTTTGATTCCGAAACCAAAAATTCTTGGTACTTATCCAAAACAACATTCATCTTTGAAAGGAGACATTCTTTACCTATGAAATCTAAGGAATTCGAAGATATGAATAATAAATTTTAAAATGGCGCGGTAATGCACACATTTTCAGCAACCTATCAGGGAGCTGATTACAGCTCATTGATGCACAAATATTCTATAACCAATCAGAGAGCTGATTACATCACGCCTAGAATTAAAATTATTTAAATAATCATACATAATAAAATCATTTTAAAAAAGAAATGCAAAATTAAATTGTATTTTAATATTTAACAGCTATAAATAATGTTTAAAACATTAGATTAAATTTATAGATATTAAAACCAATTACTTTTAAAGTAAGGTGATGTCACTGATTACATCATCCACAGCATAAAATTTCATAAAATATGATAAAGAATAAAATTTTATTTCAAATAAAAATGCAAAATTAAATTTATTTTTAATATTTAGAAGCCATAAATTATATTTAAAACACGGAATTTATGCATAATAACACGCATTATTTTTTAAATAAAATGTCAACAAAGTATCGGTTACCATAAATAACTTATCCAGCGATGGGTTTACCATAAGTCGTATTACTCGCCAAAAGAAAAATTGCCAAAAACTCGCCAAAATCCGTGCAACCGTCTACCAAAGTAGCACCAAATCGCCAAGATCCGGTTATCCGAAAACTGCTGATATGAAAACGGGGAAAAACTCCAAAGATAACAATTTTAAAGTAGATTAATCTGATGATAATTTAACTGAGCAAACGCAACTACGGTTTTTTTCCCGAGAGTTTCTAGAACTAACCGTTCTCCTTTCTTCTAATAAACTTAGAATAAAATAATTTTACATCTAATATTCCAAAGCGTCAAGTTTATTTTCAAAATCCGTAAAACAACAAAGATCAGAAGGTTGCCACTAAATGTCCAACTATGAATGAAAAATAACAACAAAGGCTTAGTTCTAACAATAATGATATTTAACTATATTTTCATGGTCTGATCAACATTTTTTTCCTCAGCGGAAATATACGACGCCTCAAAATCATAAATGAGAAAACGAGGAAAAGCTACAAAGAATTTAAAGAATGATTATCTGATGAAAATTTACTACTCGTTTCGCACATTTGATTCCGAAATGCCAAGTGAAACTCCCGCTTCTGTTCAGCGGCACTTGGCAAGCTAAATTTGTTTTCGTTTTTAGTCCATAATTTGATTAATCAATTTAATCTGCACTTATGCAGCTTTACTGCTATTCCTTTTATGCTATACATTGCTCAAAAGTTCAGGCACATTTTTATGTTGGAAACTCAAATCTTTAACCAGAAATCTTAAAAAACTTTTGCTTTTGCAACGTGCAATTTACGAATACGTCCCAAAGCGAGCTCAAATTGTCTCGTTTAAATTACTTTTCACATTTTGTTTAAATTACTTGTTTATTATTAGTTGTTTAGAAAGTTTTTCCAAAGTAAGAATTTTTTCCCCTAAAAAATGTTTTCCCCTAAAACGTAGGGATTATATTCGGATAGCGAAGAGCGAAAGTGAAAGGTTACAGAGTTACAGGCGTAATTAGTAGTGTGTATTATCGCATTAATAAGATTGCAAAAAATTGTATTATTAGCAGGTAAGATTAAAAATTGACTATGATAATGATTTTTTATAATAAACGGAATGTTAGAATCTCATAAATTAGCAATAAATAACGAGGTAGAGACTGTTGGCATTACACAATTTGCATTATACATTGCTGATTTTTCGTCTTGTATAAATGTATGATGAGGGAAACTATGTCATATCCGTAAATTTTTTAAAAAATATGTTATTATAATAATGTATTTAAAATGAGCTGGCTGAGGATCAGGTTCATTCGAAAGTGAAACTTTGAATTACAGGAACGATCAATTTGAGTTGACCAACATTATTTGTACTAAAACTATAGGATAATGATACAAAAAAAAAAAAAAAAAAAAAAAAAAAGTTTATCGTATATAGAATGTAATAATGAGAAACATACAAGCTACACAAGAGAGCTGTCATGTATGTTATGTTTTAATACATTCAAACTACCTGATCAGGTAGTTTTAGTACAGTGTATTGTTAACTGGAATTGATCCAGGAAAAGTGCAGAATAATCCACTGCTGCAGTCTTTATATTTCTTATTTAGTATGCTTTTACAAAACAGGCAAAATATTTTATTAAATAGAAGTAATGTTATAGAACTTTAAACTTTAGCATCACTGTAATAAATCTACAAGAAAAGTTTACAATTGGGTGCCCCTTGTTTTTTGGCGATTCTTTTTTGAGGCTAAGAACGGCGCCAGGAAGGTACAATTTCAAGATGGGCGCTACTCAAAACCAAAATAAGCAGTCAAAGAATTGCACAAACTCTGTGTCCATGTACACATCAATCTGTTTTCGCTTTAAAAAAATCCTACAATTGCACAAACTAGGCATTACGCACTGCCTTAAATTTGTCCATGTACACATCAATCTATTTTCATTTAAATAAAATCAGGAACCTAAAACAAAGTTAAAACTATCATGGTGATCAGAAGTGAGGTTTCATCGACAAAATTAAAAAAAAATAATTGTCGCTAATCGAAAGAGCACCCAATTCTGCACTAGAGCCGAAAGATATTTTCATTCTAGTTTGCATATTTTAGTGCTACCCCATATTATCTTTCAAGCAATATAACACTATATCACATATTAAAGATTTCTGAAGTTTGTCTGGAAAGTTTTCAAAAATAAGCTTTTTCACCTAACTGGAAATTATGTTATCTTTAAAGTATTCTCTTCTAGAGTGCATAACTGGACTACAGCCATGACTAGCACTAAATAGTTTTCTACTCAGTGCAGACTCTGCAGATTTTAAATTCTGTTGCCCTGTTTCTCCCTAAATTCTGAAAATTTCGCCACTCCTAAATTCTACAGCATAGTGCTTTCTAAATTAAGAGAAAAATAAATAAATAAAAAAACTGAAAGCTTTCAGATTTTATATTATACCCAAAAGGGTGTTTTTTTAACATTTTGTGTGTTACCTTTATTTATTAAATATCATATTCTTTGCACTAAATCGTAAAATTCAATTCAACAGCAATATCGCAAAATAATTTTAAAAGAGCATATCTTTAGAATTTCCGGTAAAAGTATATTTATGGGTGCCCCTTGGCAGAAATTGGTGATTTTTGGCGGTACATGGATACTGAGTTTGTGCAGTTCTTTGACTTGTTACTTTGGCTTTGTGTAGCGGCTATTTTTATATAAAATTACAAGTCAAAGAATTGCACAAACTTGGTATCACACATTGACATATTATAATAACACATCGACCTATTTTCACTTAAAAAAACATCAGAAAATTGTACAAACTTGTATATTCCCTTGACTTTGTCCATGTACATATCGATCTATATCCACTTAAAAAGTCAAAGGAGCAGCCAACAAAAAATATATTATCTCAATAAACTACATTTAAACTACATTAACTACATAAAAAGGGAAATTTATTGTTTCACTACACAAAGAAAATATCCACTTACCTTATTTAGAAATTCCCATGCCTTCAGTCAAACAAAATTCCCTAACAGTATCCAAAAACTTCCTTAAATTACTTGAACTAGAATCTGTATACCGGCATCGCCACATTCACAAAAATAAGAGTAAAAAATATTCTCCAATGTTCAACCATATGCATTTCCTTCGTACAAACAGGATATTTATAATGGCTACTAAGTAAACCTTCATTTACACACCAGTCAATTAATGTTTTTTCTCCTTTCATTCCAAATCGTACTGAAACTTTGAATTAATCTTATGACATTCAGCCATTCTACTGTCTAAACCACAAAATAAGCAATGTACTTCCTAACCAACACACACCACAAGCCCTTACAAATCCTTTCCCGTCAGTCAAAATTTACCACAATCACGTAACCGATTATGTCATAATAGGGTTTCCATAACATTCAACTACTTGGGTTACCATAAATGAAACAACAACTTCACGATAATGCAAGAGCACCCTTCGATCTATTCTAACCGAATTTTCGATACATAGTCTCGCATCCTGGAGATAAAAATGTTTTTTTTCCATACAGTGTTGCCTTTGCTCACTTTGAAATTGTTGAGTGTCTTAATCAAAAACTCATAAATGCTTTAAAAAATATGAAATAGATAATAGAGCAAATTCCAAATTTGGGCTTTCAGATATCCATATTCGGGTCGAGATGTGCATTATTCAAAATTTGTGGGCTACCGTTTTCTATCACAATGTGAAAAACATTGATGCAGATTCTTCATTATTTAATTTCTTTAAATATAATACAGAGTGATAATATTTGGTGGCAACAATTTGAAAAGTGATTGAGACTTTTAAAGTTTTTGATGCAAAATGCTGAAATTAATAGCCCTTCTGGGCTAACGCCCTTTGGGCTAAAAAGATATCTTTAAATTCAGTTGCTCAGTACTTCTCTAAATTCTAAAAAATTTGCCATCTACCGTGCATACACTGGTTTTGGAATCTACTCAGATTGTGTTATTTGTGACAGAAAAAGAATATTCTTCTGGAATGCTGTACCAAATAAATGTCTGAAAGAGCTAAATCTAGTTAATATAGACATTGGAGAAAAGTGGTATTGTGTTCTAACCGAAATCTTTCTTATAAGGAGTGATGTGTGGTTGGGTGAACTGTCATAATAGAGCATCCACTCTTTCTGTCGCCAAGCGTCTGATCTTTTTTTTTTCCCCTTAATTGCTTCAAAAACACATTTCACTGTGTTTAGGTAGTACTCCCTACTAACTATCTTTCATACATAAAGATATTCAGGGAGAATGGCAGTTTCAGAACTAGAAAAAGAAGTAAGCAAAAACCTTTATATTTGATAAAATGTCGTCATGTCATCTGAGGTGAAAATTTTTTCGCTTATCATGATGACTGACATTTTTTGTCACATACTATACTCGCAGAACTGTGTCGCGTTCCTAATGATGATATTTTTTATGATGTTTTCTTCAAATCTAGTCTTTTTCAAAAGCTATTCTCTTACTTCCAGTTAGCTATGTTGTCAAAAATGTTTCCAGTTACACCACAAGGGTGCACAATAAGAGGGAGAAAATACCTTACATTCTTCTTCACTTATAGACAATTGGATAGTTGGAACCCAGTCACGAAATTCTAAAATTTAAATTATTGTCAAATACATTTTAGCTTGGATACTGCTGGGAAGTTATTACATTTATTGAAACAGGAAACATGAAAACTGAGAGTTGTCTTCACTAGGATTTGTTCTCTGGACCTTCGGATTGTTAGCAGGATGTGCTTCCTATCACACCATGACGGTAGGTAGGTTTCCTGTAGGGAGAAATTACCTTACAAAGTATTGTAATCTATGTTATACTGAAATATACTTTATAACTCCTGTACTTATAAAAATAAGAGATTCTGACATTTTAATTTACAAAGAAAAAGTAAAAGATATACTTGTTGTGCTCTACAGCAAGGGTTCTCAAACTTTTCAAATTTTGTATGACATAAATATGAAACAAAAATATATGTACCACCATAAAAGCATTTCAGCATTAAAAATCAATGCATCCTAAATGGAGGGTATATAATCAAAGAATAAAACACCTTATATTATTTAATTATATTCGTAAATGAAACTTTTACATTACAATAAACTATAAATAAGTATACTGTGAATACATATACAGTCAAAAGTCGTTAATTCGGACACCCATAATCCGGAATGATATATAATCCGGACCTCAAAGCTACAAACTTTCTGCGCATGCTTCACTTTGACGCATGCGCGTAAGACCTTTACGGCTGCGAATATGCGTGTGTGCGTGCACAAAATACGTTTACGAATGCGCATTTAATGTATAACGGATGGTATAAGCTAAGCTAAAATTATATAATTCAGTTAATATTGCAGATTGCGTTGTTCATTAATCTTCGAATTGGATTCGGCTTATTATTTTTTGCAGACTGTTAGAGCAATTTTATAAAAGTAAGCTTGAACTTTCGATTATGTCAAATAGAATTTCTGATATATATTTACTAATATGTAAAGGATCTACAAACAAAAGAATGTTTCCAAGTCCATTAAACAAAAAGTGGAATTGCTGCAAAAAATGGATAAAGGCATATCCTAACCATTCCGAAATCTGTTTATCAATTTCACGCTGCTCTGCCGGGGGGGGGGGGACGCCGCGGCGTGCAGTGAATTGGAAGTTGATCTGTCAGCACTATCCTTATCTTCAGGGCAGATGTTTTTATTTTATTTGGCTTATAATTCCTTACTAAATGTAGTATTTCATCTCGATGTAATCCGTCTTTGATATGATTTAAATCAAATTCCTTGTCATTATAATCCGCTTCCGATAGCGAAGAAAGTGACAGAGGTTATTGAAAATGAAAAAATTTCGATTGACAAATTAGTCCGTATTCTCGACACAGCAATTATAGGACTTGAACAGCGGAACTTTGTAACTGAACAAGAAATTATGTCTGTTTATAGAATTGAAGAGAATGTGTTATCACATAAAACACGAAGCAACTTAAACAACTTGCATTGAAAGAAATGTTTTATAAAGTAAACAAATAAATATTAAGCTTT